AACTTAGTGTATATAACTTTAGGTTTCAACTCATATCTTTTCCCAATCCACAGTACATTTTCACAAACTTAGCAAGCAATCAAACAAAAGGTTCCTGTAGAGTACTACAGATATTTAGGGTGCTAACACCTTCCCTAGGTATAACCAACCCCCGATCCCCGAATCTCTTAAAGCGTTGTCGTTACATCGCGAAAAAGGGTTTTCTCTCTTTAGACCTTTCCTTTGGATAAAATAAAGTTCGATTGTAAAAGAATTAAGATTCAAGTTAATTTAATAGCTTGATATCCAATTTTCACCGCAACATATATATATATATATATTAAATACATTAATTATTTAATTAATTAAGAAAAAATTTTGAGCTAGAGTTACATTAGATAAAATATAACAAATCAGAAAACATTTTGAACTTGGTTTAGTCTTGTCTTGGAAATGCATGTTGTGGTGTTGTCATGCATGTAAAGTGCAGACGGTTACTGTAGCCATGTGTATATATTTATTAGTAAGAATCTCATAGGCTTGCATAAAATTAGAGTGTAGACGTTAGGCATGCAGGGAATCAGAGTGTAGACGGTATGCAATCATAATGTAGACGGTAGGCATGCAGAATGCTCTCGGTTACTGTAGCCAGAGTGCAGATGGTAGCCAAAGTGTTGTCTTGTCATGCAGCTCACGTTTTAGGCACGAAGAGTGTTGTCTTGTCATGCAGCTCACGTTTTAGGCATGCAGAGTGTTATCTTGTCATGCAGCTCACTTTGTAGGCACGCAGAGGGTTGTCTTGTCATGTAGCTCACTTTGTAGGCACGCAAGGTTTTATTTTGTCATGCAGCTCACTTATTGCTATTAATACAACAAAGAGATCTGAATTATTATCATATTAATTAGTAAAACAATCCCTTCAAACACAATTTTACTAAAATATTAGCTATGTCTTAAACATCACAATACATGATTAGTGCACATCTAAACAGTGATGTTTTTGAATGTAACATAGCCGGTTACAATTTCAGAAATACTGATGTTACGAGATTTTTGATTGACAGAAGGTCAAATTTTTTACACTTGAAGTCAAGATTAGAAAAAAAACTGCAATGTGGTCTAGTTGGCCGAATAATATACAAAAATTTAGTGTTCTTTGGCGGGCACAATGAATGCAAATTTTCCCATTAAAGATTCGAGACGATAAAGATGTGCGTAGCATGTTCCGCAGTCATGAGTATTCCGGTTTCTCAGATATCGTGCTATATGTTATGTTACAACAACAACAACTGTCTCAACAACTTGATTCTTCTCAAGTTTTTTACGAATCTGATGAGGAACACGCTGAAGTCAATGTCATTGATGAAGAAGAAGAAGCAGCTGAAGTCACCGTTGATGACATGGTGAACAATGAGGAAGAGGGGGTTCCACCCGGTCATGTTTATTGCCCATCTCAACACATGACAACTCTCGACTTAGGTGACGATGAACCCTCAACAGATGTTTTTTACAACCTGAACTACGCAACAGAAGGACTATTAAAAGAGGGTGATGAGTTTTGTACAAAAGAAGATTGTGTCTGAGCAATTAAACAATATCACATGGACTTATCAGCAGATTATAGATTCGATCGAGAAAATCCGACTCGATATACGATCTATTTTAGTAACAAGGTGTGTCTGTTCCGATTAACAGCGTCTTTCAGGAAGAGAAGTGATTCATGGAAGATAGGGTCAATGGGTCTAGCCCACACTTGTATAATCTCGAATCCGATGCAGGACCATCGCAAGCTTAACTCTCAATTGATTTGCGATGAGATTCTATCGGTCATTAGCGACAACCCGTCTTTGAAGGTGAGTACCATAATTTCACATATTGTTCAAAGGTACAATTACACTCCTTCATACCAGAAAGCATGGATAGCTAGAACTAAAGTGGTTGAAAGGGTGTTTGGAAATTGGGAGGAGTCTTACAAGGAACTTCCAAAATTCTTGGTGGCTCTTAAACAATACTCTCCAGGGACTGTTGCCATATTGGAGACAATGTCAGCGTATACACCAGACGGGACTTGCGTTGGTGGAAATTGAATTTTTCACAGACTCTTTTAGGCATTTGAACCACGCATCAAAGGCTTTGCATATCGTAAACCTATAATTCAAGTTGATGGCACATGGTTATACGGGAAATATAAGGGCACACTATTCATGGCTGTGGCACATGACGGGAACAACAACATTTTTCCAATAGCCTTCGCTATAGTTGAAGGGGAGACTGCTGGGGGTTGGAGTTTTTTCTTAAAAAATCTCTACTATTACGTTTCTCCCCAACCTAACTTATGTTTGATCTTTGATAGACACCCATCAATCGAGAGTGCATACAATAACCTTGATAACGGTTGACAGGATCCTCCATTGACCCATGTGTATTGCATAAGACATATTGACCAAAATTTCATGTGGGAAATCAAAGACAAAACACTAAGGAAGAAGGTTGTGAACGCAAGATATGCACTAACAGATCCCACATTCAAACACTACCGTGACGAGATCAGACTAACAAACACAAATGCATTAAGATGGATTGATAATATTGATAAAGAGAAATGGACACGGGCATACGACAATGGGGTGCGATGGGGCCACATGACAAATAATCTCGTTGAATCAATGAATTCTGTTTTCAAGGGAATCTGAAACCTATCGATAACTGCCTTGGTAAAGGCAACATATTTTAGGCTAGACGCACTCTTTGATAACAGACGTACAAAGCGGGGTTCAGTATTACAATCTGGTCAGCTGTACAGTAATAGTTCAACAACATTAATGAAATACGAAGCTGCCAAAGCCAACACACATGTGGTCACAATCTTTGACTGTAATAAAGGTTGGTTCAGTGTTGCCGAGTCAATTGATCACAACGAAGGAAGGCCCAGGGGATGTTACCGGGTTGAACTGGATAGGAGTTGGTGTGACTGTGGGAAGTTTCAGGCATTTCGTATGCCTTGCTCTCATGTTATAGCAGCATGTCCGAAGGCGCGCCAGGACCCAACCAACTTTATTTCTGCAGTTCACGAAGTGATAAGTCTATGCAATGTCTACACATGTAGCTTTCAGATAGTGGCAAAGGAGGACAAATAAGCCTCAATACGAAGGCGAAATTGTATGGCATAATGATTTGATGCGAAGAAAGAAAAAGGGTTGCCCTAACAGCACGCGCATTCGAACGAAGATGGATACCGCAAACAAGATGGTAAGATTATGCAGTCTGTGTCGGCAACCAGGACACAATCGTACAAGATGTCCTAACGTAGGATCAAGCACAAGATCATAGTGTCTAATGTAACCGTGTCCCTTTAAATCAACAAAAAATTTCATTCTATTTAAAGCATACATAACCGATTACAATTAGCAAGCAACATAAATTAAACAAACATAACTTAATTTCACAACAACATTATGAAAATAACAACAACAAACTGACATAAAATAGAATAATGCATCAAGGTGTCTACGATATCACAACCATCAACGTTATCTTTGGTGTTAACATCATCACAAGGACACCGACATCATTTTCCACTTTTCTCCATTCACGAGTAACTCCGTTTCTCCCTGACTCCTCGACCAACCTCTCAATTTTTCTAATCTTTTCACCTACATCAATATCTCCTTCTAGCCAGCGGTTCAGTTCCCTATGCAAATGCTCCAACGCCTGCGTATTCCACAATAGCACCTTCATCGGAGGCTTTGTTGCTGAAAAATAAACTAGGGCATTTCTTTTCATTAGAGGAAATGTTGGAAACGGTTTCTCCGATGACGACGACGACGAAGAACGTTAATTTATAAATTCAGACATTTTAGACTCCACTCAAAATTATTAAGACTTTAGTCTTTTGGTATAAATTGTTGTGAAAAAATATATGCGTGTGCAGTCGTATTTATAGAAAAATAAAATAGTACGGACGCCATATGATATGCCTTAAATACCTTTACAAAATTTATATATTTTTTTCAACAAATACCAAAATTTAACAACGTAGGGTTTTAAAATATCCAAATTCAAAGGTGACCTACAATTTGGTATTTATTACGTTTTAAATTATATATTACTTATATATTTAATATGTTTTAAAATTATATGTTAATTATATATGTATTATGTTTTAAAATTTAAACTTATTTATATTTATTATGTTTAAAAGTTATATACGAATTATATATTTATTATGTTTTAAAATTTAAACAAATATATCAAATATTAAAAAATTAAAATTATATTTATTCTAAACTAATATAATTTATTTTAAACTAATTTTTATTATTTTATAAAACTAAAATTATAAATAAAACAAAGTTAAAAACAAAAATTAAAAAAAAAAGTAAAAAAAAGAAATTACACATATAACTGATTCGCCAAATGATATGGCGAATCTTTTTAAAATAAAATTTGAATTTTTTTTTGCCTCATACACCATATGATATGGCGAATTAGTTGTGGCTTATATGATTCAGCGATATACAATAGCGTATACATCACGAATGCCACTTTAGTAAATATTTTGAGTCCTTTAGAAAATATTTTAAGTCCTGGTATTCTTTTTGAAAAACTTGGTTAGCTAAAAAAATAATTTCACAATTTTCTCATTAATATTGCTATAAACACATGTTTGATATGACCAAAAAACACCACACCTCAATATCTATCCGTTGGACCTCACGACGGTCTCAATCACAATCGAACGTTTAAAACAAAACCGCGAAAAGAACAAAACCAACGTGGACCCCGCCAACAAAATCACTGGTCCCACCTCGAATTTCAAAATTTCAAATATCCTTTCGTTAAAGCGAAAAAAGCATCAAAACGCTGCGTATAATCGCCCTCTCTGCTCTTCACTCCCCACTTCAATCGTTTACTACCATTGACCTTTCTCACAAATTGATTCGCTTGGTTTGTAGTTCGCGTTCTACGTCGTCGTTTTCATCTACTCAATTCTAAGAATCTAGGGTTTTATTTTACACAAAATGACAACTATGGAGAGCTTGATTGGGTTGGTGAACAGAATCCAGAGAGCCTGTACTGTGCTTGGTGACTATGGCGGTGATGATGACAGCTCATTCTCTTCTCTATGGGAAGCTCTTCCTACTGTTGCTGTTGTTGGCGGACAGGTTCTCTTGTTCTTCTGTTTCATTTCATTTTTTCAATTTTTCTTGTTCTTAGATTTTTTTAAACCTCAATATTTCAATGCTTTCAAGTTTAACCTCTATTTTTTGTATCATGTGTTTATTTTACTTGATGTGATGATGACTTTCTTGTTTTGTATTTATTTTTTTGGTTAAATATGTTTTTAGTGCTTATAAATTACTTACTTGCTATTTTAAGTGAGGCTAAAAATTTAGTCCTGTAAAAGAAAATTAAAACTAATTTTGAACTAATCTTGAAAAATTACGAACTTTATAGGAGTTAAAGAATATATAACCTATGAAGCACACGCTAAGAGACACGGACACGATACACTTGACACTTCAATACCGGTAATAATTTAAAAAACGAATAACTTGAACATAAATACAAGTGCCGGTGTCATGTTGGTGTTGGTGTTTGATACTAAGAGTCTGTTTGGTTGGGGGTTTTGGAGGAGAGAGGAGGGAATATTTTAAAATAGATGTGTTTCGTTCAATTTTTTATAAGGGGAGGGGAGGGGATTGGGGGTAATCAGAATCCCTCCTGCAGCAATTTTTCGTTCCTCCGAATTGGGGGTTTTCGGAGGGGAGGGGAGAGAGGAGTTATGATAATGTATTTTTATTATATTGACAAAATTATCCTCACTTTTATTTAATAAATTTTGTAATTGTCTTTATTAATATTATACCTTAAATTTTGTCACCTTATTATAATTCTTTCATTTGTTTAATGGCAACTCCATTATTTTTATTATTATGATTCAACTTTTTTTTCTATGTGTTTTATTCTATTCATTTTTATTTAATATTTTGCTTGTAATAACTTAATTATTTTATAATTTGTTGTATTATATTACATATCAATATATAATTGTAGTATGAGTTATATATTATGTAGAATTTAATCTTATAAATATATTATAGGATTAAATGGATCATTGATCATCAAGATATTTTAGAGTATTTTAAATGTTAAATATTTTGTGTTTAATTATCTACGTTTTTTATGAATACTTTTTTTTAAAATTTATTTAGCATGATTGTTATAATATTTTAAGGGTAAAAAGATAAATTAGTTTTAAAACCCCTCCCCTCCCCCGGAAACCAAACATATATTTGAATAAAACTTCTCTCTCCCATCCCCCTCTTATAAACCAAAAATACATTTAATTAAAATACATCCCCTCACCTCCCCTCCCTCTCCTCCCCTTTATTAAAATCCCCCTCCCTTCCGTTGAACCAAACGGACCCTAACACACATTCTTTTAGAGGTGTTGGTGCTACAGAGTATATAACAATTTTTTGTGAAATTGGAGCTGACTTTAGTTTTGGATTGCTTTTCCTTTTTTGTTTTCTGGGTGGGTGGGGGTCTGAATAATTTTATTTTCTGTGTTATTTTATTTTTTTTTCCTACTTGTTCATGATTAGCGTCTAGGCCATAATGGTTTTTTGACTATGGAAGTGTGTTTCTTAACTTTCTTACAAGTTTATAGAAACTAAACGGTACATCTTTTGGAAAAATTGAGCTGCAGAAGTTGATCTCAAGTTAGGAGAATAAATTGTGAGAGTAGCTACTTAGAGTCCTCACGTGACTTAAAGTTTATCTAATGTGACTACTGGTGTAGTTCTGAACATTTTACGTCTCATTGTCTTTTGAGTAGAGTAGATCTCAAGAAAATTGTTCGGGTTAGAGCTCGAGATTGTTTTAAAAAATTGGCATGGGCATGAGAATATTTTAGTAGAGTTTGAGAAAATTTTAAGTTTATTATTGCATTTTTTTAGCAATTATATTTTTCGTTATTTGGTTCTTAGTTGCGGGTTGGAGTTTTTTCGGTTTTTCAGCCATATAATTCTTGAAATTTTGTTTGTTGGGCCTGGGGTTGTAGAAAAAATATCCAATTTTAGGGAATGTTTTTTTTCCTCCCATTTTTGTGTACTGGGTTGTCTAAATCTCTTTTTCTTTCTTAATTTCTTTTGAAACTTGAGCAGAGTTCAGGTAAGTCTTCAGTTTTGGAAAGCATTGTTGGTCGTGACTTTCTGCCTAGAGGATCAGGTTTGACTTTTAATAATTGTTTTTCATTTTCTTTGACTTTTTTCTCATTTTTCCTCAAATTAGTAATTATGGTTTAGCCCATGTTTGTTTTTTGGTGCGAATGAATTGTAGGGATTGTGACAAGGCGTCCATTGGTGTTGCAGTTGCATAAGACGGAAAGTGGGACACAAGAGTATGCCGAGTTTCTTCATCAGCCAAGGAGAAAGTACACTGATTTTGGTATGACAGTAACCCTCCATACATGCACTGGGAAATTATCTGTTTTAACTAATCATAGGACAGCTTCTATTTTCTGGTGGTTGCCTAGATTTATTCATGCGTGTTACTATATTCTGTGTTTATAGTGGCTAAATTTGAATGTAGCTGGTTCTCGCACAAAACCAAACTATTTAACTACTGTTCTTGTTGTGTTCTTCTTGTGTCAACTTTATTGGGCATTATCTATTTGACATTTTGACATTGATGCTATTCTTTTAATGTCAATGATTAGGTCGTTCTTCTGCCACCCGAACCCTTGTGTTCGGGTTTATATTATATGCCTGTTATGGCTTTTTTAGTGTATTCTATTCCTACTATTATAATGATCAAAATTCAATTTAGTATGTCCAATAAGTTTGATTTTTTAGGGGTTCTAGTCAATTTGTCTCTAAACACATCTCAAGTGCCAACACCTCGTCACTAGCTAGCAATTTATCATGTGATAACTATTACACTGCCTATTAGTTTACCATTTTTAGGATTTCGTATTCAGTTGACCTTTTGTATGTTTCTGCATCAAAATATATACATACTGTTCACTACAATCTGGTTTTCCCATTGCAGCCTTGGTCCGCCAGGAAATTCAGGATGAAACTGATCGAGTAACAGGGAAGACAAAACAAATATCTCCTATTCCTATTCATCTCAGTATCTATTCCCCGAATGGTGCGTTTCATCTGTTATAGCCTCCTTTTTTTGTGAGATTTTAAAGCAAGAGAGTCTGTTGTGTAAATTTAAGTTGATCACATAGTATAGATTTGAACTAGTTTTACATATATTTAGCTTTTCTAAATTTTGTTTTCAAATAACTTTACTATTGTCTTATGTTTGAATATTATTGGGGACATTGTAGTATTTGTATTTAGTACTAGAAGTACTTGGCCTAATTATTGATAGAAATAGGATCAAAATGGTTGCGTTAGATTAGTGTATTGTATATATATCCCATCAAATTATCAAACATATATTTTCTTGTCAAGAGTCTTTCTCTCTTTTACTTCCTTTTGACTTATACTCAAATATCAGCATTTGATAGCAAAACCTGGTTATCTTTAGACCATATTTGTAGTCAATTTATTTTCAACTTCTTTTTACTTAAAAACTATTGAAATGAGAGCTACTAGTTTTGTAAACTTCAAATAACTACAAAACGTATAAGATTTTACAAGTCAGCATCATTGCAGCTATTTATCTATTTTGGAGGTTGCGGAACAGAACAATTCATTATTTTGTGGTTGATATAATTTTATAATTACTAAGTGTCTTCAGGCATGTATTCCTTTGCAGTATTATATGGCAACTAATGAGACTAAAACAGCTGTGACCTAAAGCTTCTTCTTTTTGTTTTTTTTTGAGCAGTTGTCAACCTAACCTTGATTGATTTACCCGGTCTGACTAAAGTGGCTGTAGGTATGATTTGTATTTAATTGCTAAAAGTCAATTAATTGGATGAAATGATGGTTTTCGACGCTAAATATTCATCTCTTTTTCAGAGGGACAGTCTGAGAGTATTGTTCAAGACATTGAAACTATGGTCCGATCTTATGTTGAGAAGGTTAAATAACTTCTTCAATATAAATTATATATATATTTGTGCAATTGTAATCAGCTTGCTTGTCTTTTTATCTCAATTGGGTTATAGAACTTTGGATTTTAACACTTTTTGAACTTAGAAGCTTGCCCTGACCTTAAATTTCATGTACCAGAGTAGGCAGCAGCAGTGAATAGTGCCTGTATTGAATTTATTCTGTTCTGTGACGGAGCAGCTATCAGCTGCTATGATTTTTACTTCATGATGTGATACAATGTTGTCCCTTGTGCATATTGTGAAGTAAATGTCTGGTCAAAATTCCCCAGATAAAGCTTAAGAATCAATTTTGAATAACATATATTATTTTCATTATAAATTCAACATAATTTTTTTGAAATTTAAGATGCAAAATATTGTTATTTAGAAATCAAGGAAGGTATACCATAGGATGTCAAAAGGACACAATCCTCAAAAGTGGCTGAGACTGTGCCTAAAAAGATTGTTAAGGCTATCCCCTCTCAATTTTAAAAAAACCTTGGTTCCAACTGCCAGTAAATCACATATTTTATAGCCGTTTTCCATAGTTTCCAACAGACACGCATCTGTTTTGCAATGCCCCTTCCATTTATACAGGTGTTTTATCTTACTTTGCTCCTCTGTTTCGCACCCCTTTGTCTGCCCTTCTCTGACACCTCTATGCATTTTCCAGCTGCAATTTCATGATTTGTGGTATTGACTTTGTTAGTAGTTATTCCTTTAGATTAAGCTAGGACTTTTAAATATATTTACGAATGAGTACTTTTATGTGTGCGACTTATATTATTTGCAGTGTCCTTCAGAATTATATAGTTGCCACTCCACTATCCGTTATAGCGTTTTCAGGTCAACTGCTATGATCCATTACGGGCCTTTGTCTAGGCTTGACACCATGTTATGTACATCTACATATGCTGATGGATCTGAATTTTTGGTCTAGTGATTATGTAAAGAAGACCTAATATGCACCTGAAGTTGTGAAAGCATGATAAACCTATTTTGTTTGACATGATTGAATGGGTAAAATTAATCTGGTTGTTAACTTTCTCATTTCTTTTAGATCTTTAGAATCAGTAGTTTGTTTGTGATATTTTGATGCTTTTCAGGGTACTGCTTCATTCCTATCACAACCTCTTGGATTTTGCTCAGTTGCCTTTCTTTTTAATGAAATATTATATGATTTTTTTTTCATAGACGAGCACATTTCTTTTGTAGTGATATATTACTTCATTTTCTTTTTCATATAGCTTGTAGGCTAACAGCTTGAACAATCTATTTTTAATTAACGTTCCTTTCTCTATATTTCTATTGATGATAGATAAGCTTTTTGGTTTCCTTATTGATATTTAAAAAAATTACTATATGGGGTGTACCCCAAAGGTTCATGTTTGATTTATTCTAAGCATCCTAATTCCATTATTACTATACGTGGTTCACCCCAAGGGTTAAATATTTTCTTTTTTCGATTGCTTTATTCTCAACAGCCTAATTCCATCATTCTAGCAATATCTCCAGCCAATCAAGACATAGCAACTTCTGATGCTATTAAACTTGCCAAAGAAGTTGATCCCACAGGTACTTTGTTTAATGCTTTTCTGAATGGCCAATAATTTATTTGCTGGTTCATAGTTTTGGCCTTAAATTCTGGTCTAATGACCACTCTAGGTGAAAGGACATTTGGAGTGTTGACAAAGCTAGATTTGATGGACAAAGGAACTAATGCTTTGGATGTAATTTTTCTTCTCCTCTTGTTTGTGTTGATTCCTATCCCTTTAATGTTCAGATTTGAAATACGCCTGTAAAATCATGTAACTTATTTGTTCATCTTATCCACTTTTATTCCCTCAAGGTCCTGGAGGGAAGATCTTACCATCTGCAACATCCCTGGGTTGGCATAGTAAATCGGTCTCAGGCAGACATCAATAAAAATGTTGATATGATTGTTGCTAGACGCAAGGAGCGTGAATATTTTGCAACCAGTCCTGATTATGGGCACTTGGCCAATAAAATGGGTTCAGAATACCTTGCAAAGCTGCTCTCCAAGGTTTCCTTCTCAAGTGTGTTCTTGTTTAATCTTTTATGAGATGGATTATCATAACCACGTGCGCTTATTTTTGTAGCACTTGGAGTCGGTAATTAGGGCAAGGATACCTAGTATAACTTCTTTAATAAACAAAAGCATTGAGGAACTTGAATCAGAGATGGATCATCTTGGGAGACCCATTGCTCTTGATGCTGGGGTTGGTGGCTTGTAATTTTGATGATTTCTTTTTAAGAGTAAGGTTCTTATTCTGATGTGTTGTGGAATATTTGCTGAACGTAACCATCTGTTTCAGGCTCAACTATACACTATCCTAGAACTTTGCCGAGCATTTGAAAGAATATTCAAGGAGCATTTAGATGGAGGGTAAATATCTTCTATTGTTTTCTACTATTTTGCCATTTTCTCAAACTGGACAATGCTATGTCTTATCAAGGTCAGATAGGGGATGTAAACACAAACTGTGAAGCTGTAACATGGAATATAAGATCATCTGTTAAAAATAGAAATTTCATATGCTTTGGCATGGATTTTGATGGTATCACAGCCAAAATCTTGAGATGCATTTGTTTTTTCAAGATTATAACTCTGTTCTTCATTTTGTTAAACAATTTTGTTGTTCCTACACTAAATTAAGTCTTAGAATTTATGTGAAGCCTAAACCAACCTTACAAAACTGGCTTGTAAGGTGAGGATTTCCCTCACTTATAGATATATGTTTAAGCCATCTCTCATCCAATGTGGGACTCTTAACATATAAGACTTGTAGTAGTTCTCCTTCATGCTCCCCTAATGGAGCAGCCACTGCTTTGTCTTGCAGAAGTTGAATGCAGAGGGCCAAGAAAAATATTTGCCATGTGTTCTATGTGTCCTAACCTAAACTTACAGCCCCAAAAGCTTAAGTCATAGTGTGAAGACATATGGTTGGTGTTTATATTATATATTTTTAACACGCGCTCTCACAGAAGATCCCTTTCAGTTCGAAGTATGGGTGAATATACATAGACTCACTCACATTATTGTGCTGAAAATTATTTCTAATTGGAAGAATAGGTAGAATGAAGCTCTAAACGCAGGTTGTCTTAAAGGCTCTGATACCATTTCTTGAACTCACAAACCCAAATGCTTAAGCAGGATGGGGAATGGTTTTACATTATATTTCAATCACTGAAATGCCTAAAGTTTTGCAATCTCTTATCTCGCAATAGTGATATTTCCTCTCTTTATACTACCTAGTTCCTTGTCTGGACTTGTTCAATGTTAAACTATAACATGATGATGAAGTATTGTGTACTAGCTGAAATGTTAAATGGTCTGTCTGTTCTACACTTTTGCTGAATAAAAACTATTTTCACTAAAAGGAACCTTTGATGCATTTTTCCCACTGCACAAGGTAAAACAAGTTTAGCCGATGCAAATTGAAATAACTGTTTTGGATGTAAGTTTGTTATCACTGATGAACTGGTTAATAGGTCTTTATGTTGACACAAATTTCTTTTAAATTTTAGGCGGCCAGGAGGTGACAGGATATATAATGTCTTTGACAATCAGCTTCCCTCTGCATTACGAAAGCTTCCATTTGATCATCACCTTTCTCTCCAAAATGTAAGGAAAATCGTGTCAGAGTCAGATGGTTATCAGCCTCACTTGATTGCCCCAGAGCAAGGTTACAGGCGCCTAATTGAAGGGGCTCTTGGTTACTTTAAAGGCCCAGCTGAAGCTTCAGTAGATGCTGTAAGCAGTCTTGTTGTCTTCTCTGATTTTTTATTTTCATGCGACAGTTAAAGAAGCGAGCTGTCTGCTCTTGATTTTTCTGTAGGTTAATTTTGTTTTAAAAGAACTTGTGAGAAAATCAATAGCTGAAACTCAGGTAACTTTCAGGAGTATATTCTGTACATACCTTGTTCATGAAGTGACAGTTTATGGAAATACTAACATGTGTTTGAGCAGGAACTGAAGCGATTCCCAACTTTTCAAGCTGAACTAGCTGCAGCAGCAAACGAGGCTTTAGAAAGGTTTCGTGGAGAAAGTAAGAAGACAACTCTCCGGCTTGTAGATATGGAATCTTCGTATCTCACTGTGGATTTCTTCCGGAGACTACCTCAGGAAGTGGAGAAAGCTGGAAGTCCTGCTCCCTCGAATGTAGATCGATATGCAGAAGGTCATTTCAGGAGAATTGGATCAAATGTCTCGTCTTACATAGGATTGGTGGCAGACACGCTCAGGAACTCAATTCCAAAGGCTGTTGTTTATTGTCAGGTCAGACAAGCAAAACAATCTTTGCTTAACCATTTCTACACGCAAATAGGGAAGAAAGAGGTATGTTTTCTCTTGCTCTCACTCCGCGTCTGTTATTTATTATTTTATTTCAGATGTCCATGATTGTTAGTGCCAAATTTAACTTCATGATATAAGCTCATCTTCCACTACTTTGATGTTTATTGTTAAATGTGTTTACATTCTATACTTTATAAAGTTTTGGACATTATTACGCACTTTTCTTACATAGTTACAATATATCCTTGGTATGATTTTACCTGGTATAGGGTAAACATCTATCTCAAATGTTGGACGAAGATCCTGCATTGATGGATAGGAGACTACAGTGTGCAAAAAGGCTGGAACTATATAAAGCAGCAAGGGATGAAATCGATTCTGTATCTTGGGTACGATAAGCGTAGCTATGGATGTCTTCCTCGCCTTGGACTAACTGATAACAATCATGGGTTGGCTTGACCCAGATGTAATATACATATTTATTATTGTTTTAGTGTTGAGGCAATTCTATACCTTTATTTATTGTAGGTAATGTTGGAGTTAAGTTAATTTTCTGAATGTGTGATGTACATCAAATACAGACTAAGATCTTAACCGTGATATGTATATTAAATTTGCATATTCTCTGTATTCTGAATCTTGGTTGTTTGTGTTAGATTCTTGAATATTGGATTTACCATTTTTGTGTTACATGCTTTATCTGATTAACAAGTGCAGGCTAATTTGACAAAATAGTAATCTGCAATAAACATGACAAATTCAGAGCTAACATGACAAAAGGTCTTACAACTCAACATGTTAACTTGGAAAGGTTGAATCATGATACTACCCTCAGAGAATGTTCACATAATGACTAAGGATGTTAAACAAAGAGAAGCACTGAAGAGGGGGCTAATTGATTGATCCACTGTGTTTATTTTGGAGGATGGTTCAATACACCTCATTACTTATTCACCCACCCCGGTGAAATTCTAAATATTTTAGAACCCGAATTTTAAAACCTGAATGAACTAAATACACAACAAATTCCTTCTGAAACAAGTCTTAAAAAGCTTCAGATTTTGGAATTAGAATTAGTAAGTTACGAAAATTGAATTCTAGACGCACCTCAACACACTACATTGTGCCCAATTGCAGAACTACACTAACACATTTAAGAAAAAAGATTTAATTTTTTGAATTTTTATGTGTTAGAACAAGATTTGTTCATGACATATTCTTTTTTAGTTTTGATGATAACAAAGTATTGAAAGAACAATGGTTTATTTGATGTGTGCTTTATTTATGCAGATTCTACATCATTGTACATAAATAATTAGAATCTGTGTTACATGAACACACTTGGGAGTTGCTTCATTGCTAACTTTTGGTGGCAAAGTCTGAAGAACAATTGCTAGTGTGACTTGACGCAGACTCTGAGCTGAAGGTCTCAACACTCAGACGAGTTACTACACTTAGTAATTATATATCAGCATCTGGTACCATTCAGAGTTGGTGATAAAACTGTGGTTGTCCATACTGCAGAAAGCAAGTTGTATTGTCTTATTATTTTGTTAGCTAGAATCTACAAGATTGTAAGGCTCAGGAAAGGTTGACATGTTCTACGTATATCCGCTCTCAACGACTCTATCAATACAGAACCTCTTGAAGATTCAAAGGTTAAATGTGTTACACACTGGATTCAGAATCTGCTGTGCATTCATCTTCAATGTCTCTTGTACTATGGTGCAAAGGCAAAGACACTTGATCAAGTTACATTTTCAACAACTAGTTTCTGCAAAGGCTATAAATATGACTGAAGATTCAAGTTTGAATCTTAACAAGGATTCTTCAGATAAAGGAGTAGTAAGATCAAACAATTATCAACTCTATTGTAATATGCATATTTTCTGTTGTAAGTTGTAATTGTAAAAGCCTTAAGATTTCTTACCATTGAATATTTTAGAAATCTTAAGAGCTTTAGATCTTTGTTATGGTGATTTCCCGTACCTCTGATACTTGTATCATGTCCACTGTGTTCTCTATTCTATTGAGCCTTCAGTAGTTTAGATCAAGTCTCTTGCTATGTACTTGAGCAAAAGTCTTGTCTCATTGGGATTAAAGCAACAAGTCTTAAGTCAAAATGCTTAAGCCACATAAGTCTCATTGCTTAAGTGCTTGAGCTGTGAAAGTCTTATTCAGCTAGTCTGATTGAACAAGGGAAATTCTCCGTCTAAGGGGCATGAGCAGGAAGTCTCAAGTGATGCTTGAGTTAGGAAGTCTCAGTCTGGATGGCCAAAAGAGCATGTGGCTCGATCAGAGGGCGTGAGCAAGAAGTCTTAGGCATGTGCTCTAAGTAAGGGTAAGTCTCAACCATAAGACCTTTGGAGCAGCTGACTCGGTCAGAAGGTGTGAGCAAGAGAAGTCTTAGACATGTGCTCTAAGCAAGGGAAGTCTCAGACAGTTTTTCTGAGCAAGTGTAAAAGACTTATGTAGAAGCATAAGCGATTGTAATCATGAAGTAGTTATAATAAAAATCTCTTGTGAGGCAAGGGGACTGAAGTACTCTCAGTTAAGGGAGGAACTAGGATAAATCTTGTGTCTTTTGCTGTTATTTTGTTTACTTCTGTTATATCTACTACCAATGAATTAAAACAAAATCTGAACACCAGTTCTGATTCTGAAACTCTAATCAGAAGTTAAATTAAAAGAAAATGCAAAACACAATTCAACCCTCTTGTGTAATTTTCACACCTTCAATTGGTATCAGAGCATGGTCTGTGTTTAACACTTAACAGTGGTGTAGATAATGATCCAATAAGAAAAGTATAATTCTTTTTCAAGAAGGAATCAAGTGCCACATGAAAAATATCATATGACTTTTCCTACCATATTCAAAAGGATGATTCCACTGAATTTAAATGATGGAAAAGCTAAACATATTTTTAACTCACTGGTCTTGATAAAGAGTTGCTGAAGGTCTATAGAATATCCTTGAAAGAGGTATTACTATAGAAGTTGATGGTGTAAAGATGATCATCTTAAAAATCTCTTTCACGAGCTCAGAAGATACATATTGAATATCCTTAGAGGTAGTTGCATTCTGGTAGATGCTCTATCTCACTTCTGAGTATATCAACATCATTGATGTGTCTGATGCTTGGACAATCTTTGAATTCTCGTGCTTGAATTTGTGAGGATCATTTTTTGAAGCTTGTACAGTTACAGTTCATCTAATCTTTTCAAACAAATTCTGAGAAGATTGCTCTGAGACTTAAATCCGAGATCACAGTTATTCAGGATGTTTACATCTTAAATATGTTGTGTTATGAAAGTTTGTCTTGCAGTCTTCAAAGGAAAGAAATGAAGTTAGATGATGAAAAACTATTAAACATGTCACCTTCTCAATTTAGCTCAAGTTCTTTGGAATGAATAATGATAAGAAACTTAGGTTTCTTGTCAGAAGAACTTCCATACTGGCTGAATGGATTGTGATATTTGTTGATATAAGAGTAACTTTAGAAGCTTCTGAAATACTTGTATTTCAACTGATTTCCCAGATCTGAAAGTAAGAAGAAACACTACTAGAACCTAATATCAGATGCTCTTCAATGTCTAAATTTTTGAAGCTGATATTAGTGTAGGATACAGATGAAAATGAGCATTTGTGCTCTGAAATAAAAATCAAGTATTGAAAAGTAAGAGATGATGTCAAATCTATCTTGCTTCAAAATATTTGATAATATGGAGTTTGTTCCTTAAGGTGATATCTTAGGAAGCTCCATTGCTTCTTGATTGAGGATCATCATGGAAATTGTTTTAAATGACATTTCTATGAGATGTCTTCAATTTCTCTTTGAGTTCAGTCAGGTGTACTAAGACAATACTTTGATTTGCTTTGTGTCAATTTTTGATAGCTAACACCATTTGGTTATGAGCTTGTCAATAATTTCAGAGTCAAAAGATTTAATCCTAGATAATGAGATTAGTGACTCTGCTTAGAACAAGATTTTGTTCTTATCATATCTCATCCTAAACTTATACTCTGGAGTGATTTATGATTTTGATATTAGGAAGAGACATAAGGTAAAGAAGAGTCTGTTTGTAATTACATGTATGGTCTTATAGAAATATGAGTATCATAATGTATCTGCTACAGACATTAAGGAAAGAAGCAGATTCATCTTTCATAAGGTTGTTTACAACATTTATTGGAGGAAAAACCAATAGCCAAAATTTAAGTACGGTGGTACTAAATTTGGTGAGAGTAATGGAATCAACGGTTAGACAGCCATCGAATCAGAATCCACTCAAAGCGGTGTTCAAACTCTATTGGTCGAGTTTGAATACTAAATCGAGTTTGACCGAGAAAAACAAAAAATGGGTATGCTTTTCCTTTTCTGGTTTATCTTTTGATTCAATGAAACATTTGTATAGATATAAATACAAAGTTTCTGTTAGACTTCTAGAGAAGTTATTTTTAAAAAGAGAACTTCAGAAATATTTAAGAGGAAACTCTGTTGTATTTGTCTGTACTTAATATTTCATTAAGCCAGATGACGATCATATTTATAGAAACAATTTTCTCACTTTTTGAGTTGATGTTGTTGCTTGTTAGTTGTATATAGAAGACAATTCAATATTCATCTATCACTCATGACTCTTGTTTCAAGATAAAGTGCTAGTTCTAAATAGAATCTTAGAGACTTATGACTGACATATGATATCTCTATTTAAGTCTAGATCTACTAGACTCTGATGGATGATAGCTTCTGAAAATTGTCAAATTATGAGATTCAGAAGAAGATTTTTTTACTTCTAATATAACAATTTAAGTAAAAAGTTTTCCAAAACTTTTATAATACTTAAATTTTCATAAAGGTGAAACTCATCTAGTGAAATTGAAATATCTTCTGGATAAAGAACCTTTGGGTAATGACGTTTTCTCTTTTGGTACATGTTGTTACTATTCCATGTCTTGTGAAACATCATTGTGTCTTTTTCCTGACAAGATTCTTATTCTTGTAGGATTCTTGTTCAGTTCTTCTTCTTCTTCTTCTTCTTGTTTGTGTCCTGATTAAATCAAACCTGAGATGAGTTCTTCAGTTAATTCTCCTTTAAATCAGCTGGTTGTCATCAATGAAAAGTTTGTGGATTTTAGTGAGTTGCGTAAGATTGGTTTCAACTTCTAGAAGACTGTGTCTAAATAAGGTTGAAATGGCTACTTTAAGATGCTCTGTGGTTTCACTTATCCAAGTCTTATCAAAAAGTTTTGGATTAATGCCTCCATTTTTGAGCTGAATTCTGAGTATGCTATTTTTTCTAGAGTAACTGGTGTTTCTATTAAAGTAACGTATAAAGCAATTGCAAATATGATCAATTGTGAAGAGATTGGAGAAATCCCAGGAACTCTTACTTG